TAGTAGCAGCAGTAGTAGCAGCAGTGTAAATAGTAGCAGTAGTCGCGAAAGCAGGAAGATAATTAGTAGCTGGAGAATTTGTTGAATTGGTCCTGTCCTGTTTTGTCTGATCAAGCTCGTTGGGCACTCGTGACATACCCAGAGGCGTTGGACCAAGTTTCAATGTCCACCTTCAAAAAAAAGCAAGGAAAAGCAACATTAGAAGAATAATAACAAACAGTACTAGCAACAGTATTAATCATGAATTTTAAACAATAGCAATAATAGCAGTAATAACAATGTTCATACATCTCCCCAAGAGCCACCCCTTCACAAAACCCTAAACCCTTCCAGGAGGAGGATCTTCTAGAGAGCCCTGACTTCGTGACACTGCTTCAGCGAGCCGGGACTCCACAGTCAGGTTTGGGTTTAGGGTTTAGAGTTTAGGGTTTAGGGTTTAGGGCTTCAACTTAGGGGTGAATGGGTGTAGGGTGCAGGTCTTCAAGGTTTTAGGTGTGTAGGGGCCTTGAGGTTGAAGGGCCTTCAGGGTTGAATCCTTCAACAAGGTCAAGAAACCATAAACCTCTATAAGCCCCACAAAAGCCCCAGACCATCTTTCGGTGGCTTAGGTGTCTTGAGTCTTGCGTCTAGGCATGTCGGGGCAGTCGGGCCAAGGTTCTTCCAGTTTCATCGTCCCCCGAACCCTCCGGCACCACCCCTGGCATTTTAGTTGTAGTTTAGGCAAGGGTTTTTCTCCTATTGTCAGTATTTCCGTGTGTCGCGGGTTACGGCAAATCTATGGGGTGGGCAGTCCATATTGGCTTCGGTTCCCCGAGATGAAGATTCGGACGCTCGGCGCTGGACTCAGAAGATGAGGCCGACGACCGACACACGACTCATGCAAGTGGGAATGCTCATTTTTCTGGTTTGGTAGAACGCTTCTCTCCACTTAGGGGTGTAATTACTTCGTGGCGACGTGACTTCAGAACCCAAGGGTTTGAGTCACAGGGCGGTGCTGGATCAACCGTCTCTGAACCCCGACTTCTGTGATATTGGGCAAGCCAACACCTGGAGCGCCCTTCAGACTACAGAAGATTTGAACAGTTGGCAACAGTATCCCCTTGTGGTCTCCAAAACCCTAACCCCTTAACCCTAAACCCTATAAACCCATGTCCAAAATCAGAACAGGTGGAGTGGGGCGACATCTTCCCTCGGAGCTCTTAGCAACCTTTAAACCAGAATCCCTGAGGTCAAGGTTTAGAGCGTTCAGGGCTGAGGGCTGCAGAGTTCAGGGTTGAATAGTATCGTAAATTTAGGCCTGTGTAGTTTTCAAGCCACATTCTCACATATCCCAAAATCCGTCCTGATCTGATTCTCAGGGTCCTTGGCAGGGGATCAGGGATTTAGGGTTCAAGGTCAAGAGCTAAGACTCTCCAAAACCCCTTGAATAAGACATAGTAGCTTGAATCCTCTGAATAGTTCTCTAAATTAGGATCCCTTTTTAGGTCCCCAATATAGTACGGCACCCTTATAAAAAAGGACCCTAAAAAGGGACCCTAATTTAGAGAACTACCCGTATATGGGCTCCTAAAGTTTCAAGGAGACTCGGGGAGCCCAGGTGGAGAGCCGACTCTTCGGCTTCAGCGCCAACGAGGCTCCAGATCTCACACCAGAACTTTCCTATGGCTCTCATATGACATGTTCTGAAGGTCTCTAGTTACTAGTTCCTTTTGCGCGGTTTGCTCCTTGTTTTCAAACCGAAATTCTCTAGTCTCTTTCGAGCGGGTTGGTCCTGCTTCTGCAATATTCTAGTTTCTTTCGAGCGGCTTGATCCTTGCTTTCAATTTCTCTAGTCTCTCGAGATTCTCTAGTCTCTTTCGAGCGGCTTGCTCCTTGTT